ATTATCGTATTACTGTCCATATGAATAACTGTAAACCTACTTTTGCCCCACCCTGGTAAAGTAAGAAAGCGCTTCTCAGACTTTAGTGGAGTAAGAATCACTTTGTAAATTTGTTTAAAGTGCAAATTTCTGGGCACATTCACAGAGACTTTGATTAATGAGGTCTGAGGAAAAAAACAAGGAGGCCAGGTAAGCCAGGTGATTCTGCGGTGTGAGATTACTAGGCAAAAAGTTAAGAAACTTGGCATGGCCATGTTTCAACACTATCTTTCTGTGTTCTCTCTCTGTGTGTATATATAAATATGTATATATTTAATTAATCCCCATTCCTACACTGTGCCTCTGTGTTCTATTTTAGTACTAAACTTTTGCACACGAGGAATGAATGTAATTTCTTCAGTAGATATTAGTGTTTTATAAACTGATCGTAAGTAAAAGCATATTATCAGCACTTGAATAGATAATCTATTTTCAAAACACAATAGATCATTCTGAAACAGAATTAATATACAAGGTAACGTTTTAATTAAGGATGACAGAATGAATTTTATTCCCCCAAATAATTGCTACTAGAATTATGTAGAAATCATATGAGAAAAAAGACCACCTCCCATTATACTTTAAAATAAATTTCAGATGGATGAACGACTTAAATTTAACAATCCATTAAGGTAATAAAATAGAATGTAAGTGAAAATGCATATACTTTTGGAGCAAAAAAAGGATTTTGAGAAGCGTAAAACTGCAAGTCAAATTCATAAAGGATTAAGAACTTTGAAGATATACAGACTGACAAGGTGTCCTGGCAGGCCCTGGAGTGTGTCCTCAGTAGGTTACAAGGACCACAGGAGCTTGAATTGTGTTGTTCTGTTCGCTGCAACCAAAGGTGTCACAGAGGCTCCAGGTTCTACTTAGTGGAAATGTGTACTGAGCTCCCTGGACTGTCATGATAGGATCACTCCTCTGAAGAGATTCCCGAGGAGACTAGTGAGAGTGCAAGGGCAGGGATGGGAGGAACATGGTCACACCCAGAGTACCCACTCTCACATCACCATTTTTTAGACCATGTTTTCCTTTCCTGTCCCATCCTCAAAAAAATAATTTTCCTACTCTTTCCACTTTCCACTTCCATATTCCTTTCTTTAATTCTGCCAGTCTCTGACCTTTTCCACTCAATTATATACAGACTTAGATCTAACCTAGAATCAGAGGCTGTCCATCTCCAGCTCCATGTAGGTCGGGGTCTCTGGGTTACCAGTACCAAAGAATCACTCAGATTGCTTTAAGAAAGAACTGCTCTTATGCCAAGTGCACCATGGAGTAAGAAAACCCAGGAAATTCCTTCTGCAACAGCACAGATAGGTTTCATGGAGTGCGGGCCAGTTTATCACAGCTTTCTAGGGCAGGGGTGGGCAAACTTTTTGTGAATGCATGCCAAAACCAGCAAAATCTCTGACTCAAAATTCTTCTGCGTGCCAACCCTAATTTTTTGAGAACATGTTACGCATACTTGATATCTCTTAAGGTGTGTGTATGTGAAGAACCTTGAAGAAATAATAAAATTCATTCAAGCGACAAAAACACAGTACATGATGATGAAAAATACATTTATTTTTTAATGTATACATGTACACTGATAGTCCGACAGAAAACTTTATGACTTCGTTTGATATTATCAGTGGGACTTTTGCTGCTGCATCACTGATGACAGAAATTTTACATGAGGTTTATATTTCGTGACCTTCAGAGATATGCACAAGCTATTATTTTCATCCATCAGGCTACTCCTATTACGAGACTTAACAAAATTCATCACTGAGAAAAAAGATTCACAAGCGTATGTGAATGAAAACATGGAGAGTAATACAGTTGCAAAGTTTTTTAAACAGAAAAAATTTTCTAGAATGGCATTCCAAGTCCTCAATAGTTCATTTTCGACACTTATCTCTGGTACTCCTGTCTCTAATCGCTTTTTTTCAATGTTTTCCAAGTCAACTCTAAGGTCAATAAATTTCTGCTTCCAAATTGAACTACTCTGAAATTCAACTGCATTTCAAAGTCAGCCATGTCTATCCATGAAAACATTTGTAAGTTTAGTTCCTCCAGTTTCATGCTACCTGAAACCTCATGAATTTTGTTGTCTCTTCCAGTTCTCTGAATTTCGCAAATCTTGAGAAGAACTGCTCAATAGTTGACTCGATGATGTTTAAAAACAGCTTTTGAAGGCTTTGACAGTCTGTTCTGTCATCTTTTGGGAGGCCTTTGACGTGCCTTTTGAGGTTTGGGAAATATCTAAATCTCTCACCATCCACATCCCTCTTAAAGACTTCCAGTTTCTTTTCAAAAGTCTTTATGTAACCAAACATAACATCAAGTGTCTTGCCAGTTCCTTGTAATTTAACATTTAAGTCATTCAAATGTTCACAAAAATTGTAAATGGAAGATTATAAGAGGGTTTCGTGTGCCAGCAAAAGTTACTGGCGTGCCATGTTTGTCACACGTGCCAGGGGTTACCCACCCCTGTTCTAGGGGCTCAAAGACAATCCTAGCACTGGCTACTGCTTCTGTTAGTCTCTAATCATAGAGGTGCAAGACAGCCTAGAGAAGGATGTGCAGTGTAGCTCAGGAATGGAAACTAGACTGACAGAGAATAGCAGTTAAGATCAGAAATGTGGAGAAACTTGTAACCTGGGCTTGAACCAGGATTCTGCCAGACCTAACAAAAAAAATTTTAAATATATATTTCTATTTTTAAAACTATTTGTATTGATTTCAAAGAGGAAGGGAGAGGGAGAGAGAGATAGAAACAACAATGATGAGAGAGAATCGTCCATCGGCCGCCTCCTGCACACCCCCTACTGGGGATCAAGCCCAAAACCTAGGCATGTGTCCTGACTGGGAATGGAAAAGTGACCTCCTGGTTCATAGTTCAATGCTCAACCACTGAAACACACTAGCTGGGCCTAACGTAAGATTTTTAAGCAAGCTTCCTTCACAAAGAGATGCTAATTATAATAAAAACAAAAACAATGCTAAAAGTAATTCCTTGCCCAGCCAGCATGGCTCAGTGGTTGAGCGTCGACCTCTAAACCAGGAGATCACGGTTGGATTCTCAGTCAGGGCACATGCCCGGGGTGTCAGCTGGATCCCCAGTAGGGGATGTGCAGGAGGCAGCCAATCAAAGATTCTCTCTCATCATTGTTGTTTCTATCTCTCTCTCTCCCTCTCCCTTCCTCTCTGAAATCAATTTAAAAAATTTAAAAATAAAAATATAAAAGTAATACCTTTATCATGAGGTAGTTCGGATGATGATGATAATGTGTGGATAGTCCTTAGCATAGTGCTTGGCAAATAATAGCTCATTATACTTACCATTATTGTTTATTATTTTTATTTTAGGGTGACCCTAAGGATGTATTTATCTCGGCTGCTACACTTGTTCTTCTCTTTTCCTACTTCTAGCTCCTGTACTCTTAGGAAAAGTCAATATCCCCAGTGTCAGGCTCTCTCCAGCCCAGCCCTTGAAACATCCATTCTCTGAAGCATAGACAACACAAGGACTGAAAGAGGTAAGGAGGCCACGGGCAAAGGTAGACCTGGAAGCCTCTTCAGTATATCTGAGGTACTTGTTTTTCTCTGGGAAGAAAGACTCCTTGGAAAATTAATGATTAACAGTCAAATTTGGAATGGGAAGGGAAAATGATTACTAGGACCAGGAGGTCTCTATGAAAGATGACTATTAAAAAGTAGACTGTGCTATGATGTCTAGCAATTGAGCATGATCTCTGGGACATATTTTACTTCTGCTGAGGCTCTTTTTTAAGGAAATTTTTTTTTTTAAAGTATCTTAACATTTAACATAATCATCAGGAAGCATAATAATAATGTGTTTCATCAGTGTATACCAAATGAAATATTTTTGTTTCTTTTTAAAGTAATACAATTATTTTAGAAAATGTGTTATCTACCAGTGTTACACATTTGTGTAGCAAAGGCACTTGCTCGTACATATTTAAAGTATTGGGGAAATACTGGTGCAGCCTACTGTGGGGTCAATAGACATGGAAACACACTGAGAGGGAAGTAATGTAATGGCTGACATCTCTGATGATGAGGTTACTGTAATTGCAAACAGGTGCACAAGATTGGAGAGTGTTTAGGGATGCAAAAACCATGAAGTGTATATTGGGGGGGAGGGTGTGGGGAGAGGGGACAGAAAGAAAATAAAACCCCACAAGGTAAGTGATGCCACCTTGTGGAAAAGTTATTCCAAGTGTTAAGAGGGGGCAGAGGAGGCTGCAAAATGGACTGAGCCATTTCAGGCATGGGGTAGTAGTAAAAACAGACCCATGAAGAAGCTCAGCATATGGTGTTCATTTGACCCTATGGACCCTGGTTGACCCCTCTCCAAGGGCATCGCTGGTCAGGGGTGAGCAAAAAGAGAATGTCACAAGATGAAGAATTTTTTCTCATAACAGCAGGATGTTCATGAGGGAAGGGTGAATCACTTAGCGCTCTTTTCAGCACACGTTCTTAACTCCTAAAAAGGGAACCGATTTATTTGTTCCAGCTGGAGGGAGCACATGAGCCTCCTTTCTGCCTTCCTCCCTCTCTGCCCACTGTTGTCTTGATGTCCTTTTTCCTTCCTTCCTGCCCTCTTGCTCTCTATCCCTTGCTCTCTATCACTACTGTTCCTTTCTTGTTTCCATCCCTCCCTTCTGACTTTTATCCCCCTCCCTTTCCTCATTTCTCTCCTTCCTTCCTTCCCCTTTCCCTTTCTTATCCACAGTCTTCTAGACTGAACGTAGGTCTTGTAAGGTCCGTTTTTAGTCAATATTTCAGAGGTACTTAGATTCTGAGTTGTCAATTTTAAAATGATTCAAAGTCTTAGAGCTCACAAAGGCAATAGGTGGTGAAAATGGAGCCTGCCCAGGAATAGAAGGAGCACAGAATCACAGCAGAACGTATCTCTATATCTCTTGTATTCCCAACAGGAAAAGATGTGCACCCTGCTCACCTCACAGTCCCTGCCTCTGCTGCTCCTGCTGCTGCAGCCACTTCCACTGCAGGTTCTAATGCTTGGTGGACATGGTTCCTCGGATGAGATGGAAGAAAAATTTCAAGATTATTTGGATGAATTACATAGTACAGGGCCTACCAGACCACCTACCAAAGAGAGTTTCCAAAAGCATGTCATGCTTTCGCCTGATTACAAATTATTTGAGTATCACCTGTGTACTAGTGAAATGTTAACAAGAAATATCCACAACAGATACTACTGTAGGAAAGAACATTTCTTCCTCTACATAGCATATGAGGAGCTGCAAAAGACCTGTCACACCAAGTATGTGGCATGTAAGAATGGTGTTAGGAAATGTCACAAGACCAAGGAACAAATAGAAGGAGCATACTGTGCATTAAAAAAGGGAGTTAGCATGCCAGTCTGTGAGTATGAAACGACTTACAAGAAGGGATATGCTCTTATTACTTGTCGATGGCAAGATGATATTGGAGAAATTATTCCTGAGTATGTAAATACTATTTTGTAAATACCTGGCCAATAGAAAAGTGCCAGCCACTAGGAAGATATCTTCCTCCACCAGCCTAGAAGAGTATGATCTAAGAGTTGAGAGTGGGAAGATATACCCCTCTCCATACTGACTCTTCGAGGTCAAAACTGAGAATGGTAATTTTGATCTACTCATCTTAATCATCCGCCTCCCTCTCTTCTCCTGACACCATGCACAGGCAACGTGGGCTAGGTTCAAAGACAGTGCTCTGAGGTGTGGTTTCAAACAGGTCAGGTAACTGCGCACATGTTGAATGTGTTAGGAGGATGAATGCCTGTAGTGAAAGGATGACCACTACCAAGAAAAACAGAAAATGGTTGCCTGAAGTGTGTTCCAAAGTTGTATTCATGTGAATCTCTAGTTGAGCAGAAATAATAAAGTGCATTGACCTAGCGAAGTGTCTCTCGTATGTGGGGGTTATGTGGGGGTTTCTGAGTCTGGAATTATCTTTCTCTATGACACAATTTATAGCAAAAAGATCTCAAAGCCTCTTCAGAAACTGTGATTCATCTTTCTACTGCTATATTCATAGATAGTTTGCGTGTTCTGTTCTTTCATACAACACAGTATTCATGGGAAAATGAAGGTGTAGATTCTAATAGGAGACATCTCAGAATAAATATCTAAATATTCAGTATAGTAAACTCTCCAAAGTACTTTGTGGATTCCCATACCTTTGATTCAAACAGGTGATGTAACTGAGCTTCTTCATTGCTGTTCACAAAACTACAAACAATTCATCACACTCTGATATAGTCACACTTATTCACAATTCCATTTCTCACTTTCTGTAGATGTGGTTTTATCTAAGACTATTTCACTTCCAAAAAAGGATGGAGAATCAGTATGATAAAAGAAATCTATCTGTCCGGTTTAGGTAATAATGCCTCTCTTTTTGCCTGTGAAACTTATTTATATTTTTAAATTTAATTTTTGAAAATACATTTTTATTGATTTTAGAGAGAGAAAGAGAGAGGGATAGAGAGATAGAAATATTGATTGGCTGCCTTCTGCATGCCCTACCACCAGGGATCCAGGCCTATGCCTTGACCAGGAATCAAAACAGTGACCTCGTGATTCATGGGGTGACACTCAACAGAACCACAGCAGCTGGGCCTTAATTTTTTTTTTTAATAATTCTTTATTGTTGAAAGTATTACATATGTCACGTTTTTTCTCCCAGCCCCCAGCCCGGCCCCCAGCCCCCTTCCTGCCTCAGGCCTTCAGCACCCTATTGTCTGTGTCCATGGTTATGCATATATGCATTCAAAGTCTTTGGTTGATTACTTACCACCCACCGCCCTTCCCCCACCTTCCCACTGAGATTCTGCACTCTTCCATGCTTTCCTATCTCTGGATCTGCTCTGTTCATCGGTTTATTTTGTTACTTAGATTCCACATATGAGTGTGATCATGTGATACTTGTCTTTTTCTGACTGACTTATTCACTTAGCATGATAGTCTCCAGATCCCTCCATGCTTTTTCAAAGGGTAAGAGATTCTTCTTTTTTACTGCTACATAGTATTCCATGGTGTAAATGTACCATAGCTTTTTTATCCACTTATCTACTAATGGGCACTTGGGCTGTTTCCAGATCTTAGCTATTGTAAATTGTGCTGCTATGAACATAGGGGTGCATACATTCTTTCTGATTGGTGCTTTGGGTTTCTTAAGATATATTCCTAGAAGTGGGATCACTGGGTCAAATGGCATATCCATATTTCATTTTTTGAGGAAACTCTGTACTGTTTTCCATAATGGTTGCATCAGTCTGCATTCCCACCAGCAGTGTACTGGAGTTCCTTTTTCTCCACATCCTTGCCAGCACTTGTCATTTGTTGATTTATTGATGGTAGCCATTCTGACAGGTGTGAGATGGTACCTCATTGTCATTTTGATTAACATCTCTTGGGTGATTAGTGACTGAGAATTTTTTCATATGTCTCTTGTGGACCTTAATATCTTTTTATAATTATTTCCTATAATTAAAATATGAAAAATGGGATAAGGAGTAGTGATGGAGGATGGTAGGGAGAGTGTCTATTTCTCTTGCATACTTCTCTGCAATCCAATCTGCTCATCTTTTTACCATTCCCTATCCTTGTCTTCAGACTTAGAGCTAAGGACCTAATTCATCAATCAATTGATGTAAATAAGGGCCTACAATTTATTCATTTATTCAATAAGTATTTACTTAATGTCTATGTATGCCAGTCACTTTGCCAGCTATTGGGCCCTCAAAGTGAAAAAGAAGTATCTGGTTATAGGTTAAGTTGTTCCTAAAAGCACAATTCACACAGATTTAGGCATACATAGTTAACTGGTGAGGCCATGTTTGAAAGGATTCTAGTTACATGAGGAAAATTACTGAAGAGAAAATGTTCTGCATGATTAAAAAAAAAAGAAAAGAAAATGAAAACTGGGACAGAGAAGCAAGAATGGTGTTTCACTTCCATCTACCCCTCCATCCCATACTCCACATACACATAACACACACCTGGTCTTTTTGACCAATGTGTGAACACTATGGTGAGACAAGTTTTTTTGTGTGTGTGTGTTTTTTTTAATTTCAAGAAAAATGATTTTAAATATAATAATGCTACATGCAATAAACCTTAATATTTTAAGAAAAATGATCTTAAATATAATAATGTTACATGCAATAAACATTAATATCTCAAGAAAAACTATATTAAGTATGTTACATGTAATAAACACCAATTATTCAAGAAAAATGATCTTACATATAATAATAGTACATGCAATAAACATTAATATTTCAAGAATAAAAGGATTTTAAGTATAATAATATTACCAAAACTGTACTAACATAGTATATCACAAAAGTTGTAGGAAATATTAAAAATCTGCAAATAACAGGATTACTTCTATTATATTCTAGCATATCTCCCCCAGCTCCATGTTTTTTTCTATCAGTTTATGTTGTTCATTATATTCCACAAATGAGTGAGATCATATGATATTTATCTTTCTCTGACTTGCTTATTTCACTTAGCATGATGCATTTAAAGTGTATTTTGTCGGATAGGAGTATTGCTACTCCAGCTTTTTTTTTCTTTTCCATTTGCATGGAAATTTTTTTTTCCCCATTCCTTCACTTTCATCTTGTGTGTGTCTTTTGTTTTGAGGTGAGTCTCTTGTAGACAGCATATAGTTGGGTCATGTTTTTATATCCATTCAGCAACCCTACACCTTTTTGATTGGAGCATTTAATCCATTTACATTTAGGGTTATAATTGAGAGGCACTTGTTTATAGCTATTTTAATTCTGTATGGCTAGGTTTCTCTCTCTGTTTCTTTTTCTCAGCAATCCCTTTCACATTTCTTGTAATGCTGGTTTGGTGGTGATGAACTCCTTTAGCCTTTCTGGGAAGCTCTTTATTTGACCGTCTATTTTGAATGATAACTTTGCTGGATATAGTAATCTTGGTCTCAGATCTTTGCTTTCCATTACCTTGAGTACTTCATGCCATTCCCTTCTGGCCTGGAGAGTTTCTGATGAGAAGTCAGATGTCAGCCTTATGGGAACTCCTTTGTAAGTAACAGTTTTCTTTTCTCTTGCTGCCTTTAAGATTCTCTCTTTGTATTTAATTTTTGGCATTTTAATTTAATTATGATGTGTCTGGGCGTGGGTCTGTCTGTGTTATTCTTGTTTGGGGTTCTATGTGCCTCCTGAACTTGTGTGACTTTTTCCTTTACCAGGTTAGGGAAGTTTTCTACCATTATTTCTTCAAAGACCTTCTCTATTCCTTTCTCCCTTTCTGCCTCTTCTCGCACACCTACTATCCTAATATTGTTACATTTCATATTGTCCCACAGCTCCCTTAAGCTGTCCTCCTGTTTTTTGATTGTTTTTTTCTTTTTGGTTCTCTAATTGAGTGATATTTTCAACTCTGTCTTCTAATTCATTGATTAGATCCTCAGCTTCCCCTAATCTGGTGTGTATTCCTTCCAATATGTTGTATATTTGTGTTATGTCATTCTTTACCTGAGGCTGTTCTTTTTTCATAGTTACTATATCTTTTTTCCTACTGCTGAGCATTTTTAACATCATTACTCTGAACTCTGTTTCAGATAAATTTCTTATCTCTGCTTCATTTATCTCTTCTTCTGGAGATTTGCTAGTTCTTCCATTTGGGGGCTGTTTCTTTGCTTCCTCATTTTGGTTGTCTGTTTGGGTTTGTGACTATGTATTAGGTAGATCCTCTACACCTCTCAATCGCTAGTGCAGTGGTTCTGAACCTGTGGGTCTCGACCCCTTTGGGGGTCGAACGACCCTTTCACAGGGGTTGCACGACCCTTTCACAGGGGTCGCCTAAGACCATCGGAAAACACATATATAATTACATATTGTTTTTGTGATTAATCACTATGCTTTAATTATGTTCAATTTGTAACAATGAAATTGGGGGTCACCACAACATGAGGAACTGTATTAAAGGGTTACGGCATTAGGAAGGTTGAGAACCACTGTGTCTAGTGCAGGACAGTGTTAAAGGCTATTTCTGACTAATTGGATCAGACAAAGACTCAAAGCCTCCAGAGACCTCTCTACAGACTAATAGGATTCCAACTTGAATTGCCTCCAGGCAATGATCCTCACGGGTGGTGAGAGTTTTTTAAACAGGGTGGGGCAGTTGCTTCTGCCTGGAGGCTAATTGTTACTTCTAATCTCTTAAGTGGCCTCAAGGCAAGGTCTTTTCCAATAGGTGTGTCTTCCCCCCAGGCAAGGCAGATGTCTATGTGAGAAAAAATGTCCTCCACTGTGTGAGGGAATGACTCATCCCAGGAAACTTGGGGTGTCTGCGTTCTGAGCTCTATCCCGTGATTCCCCAGTCCTGGGTTCTGCTCTCACAGCTCCAGTCCACTTCACCCTCCCTCTGCCAGAGCACAAGGTGAGTGGCTCCACAGGGAATTTTTGTGCATTGGCCCTTTAAGAGGGTACCTGAACTTTCAG